TGCTGCAGTGCTCCTGCATGCACTGCTCTCGTGTGTGCACAGGAGTGTGGATGCTACAAGTCCTTCAAAGTATGGAGGAATACCCAAAACCAGTTTTCAACTTAAAGGAAAGCTGTGGTTTTGTTTTTTTTTTTTTTTTTAAGTTCAAACATCTCAGTTTGCAGTTCATCCCTCCCTGCCTAAATGCTGAGCAATATTTGGAATCTTTGTCCCACTGTTTCATAGCTCAGTGAGATAGGGAAACCCTCCAAAAGCCAATGGAAGCAAAACCAGTCATAGAAAAACAGGTTGTGGATGAGGAAAGTCAGCACATCCTTACCCTGTGTGCAACTCAGGTGGGCAGCAGCTGTGCTCCAAGTAATCATAGAATGGCGTGGATTGAAAAGGAGCACAATGCTTATCTGATTCCAACCTCCTATGTGCAGATCACCAACCAGCAGACCAGGCTGCCCAGAGCCACATCCAGCCTGGCCTTGAATGCTTCCAGGGATGGGGCATCCACAGCCTCCTTGGGCAACCTGTTCCAGTGTCCTCTGTGTGTAATGGGAGAAAGAAGTAAGGCAGGGGGATGCCAGGGTGAGTGGAGCTGCAGAGGTTCAGCTTGTGTTGCCTCTATGGCTTTTAGTGTCTGGTTAGTAAGAGAAATAGGAGATGTTGCACTGTATCTGTCTCTGGGATGCGAAGTTGGAGATAAGGAGTCTGTGCTCCATGTCTCCATGCGTTGCTCCATGGCTGCAAAGGGCACTTCCCCAGTGCTGGAGGAGACAGAGCAGCTGTCTGAGTGAGGGTTTGGGGTGTCAGAGTGGAACCAGCTGGAGGGGAGCCCTGCAGCCTCTGCTTTTCTGAACATCCCAAACAAGGATGCTTTTCCACTTTTTATTGGCATTTTGGAGCCTTCTAACAGGAGGTGGTTGGAGACTCTGGGTTGTTCTGGTGCAGCTCCTGGGGAGGATAGCTGTGTTCTGCGTGGTCTGTTCGTGTGAAGACCTTCCAGAGAAATCATGGAAGTCTCACGAGTTTAATGCCAGAGGTTAATAATAATCACAATAGGCAGCACATCATTGCCTCTGTATCTGGTTGAGAGATTTACAACTTAAACTCGTGGCAGAGGAAGAAATTGCCTCAATCACTTGGAGTAATGGCACATGGAGAGCCACTTGGGCGTGACTGCTATTTAACACAAGAACCCAGCTTGGCTTCATTTAGCGTGCTGGTTCCTTTCTAATAAACATGTTACACTACAAGGTGGGGATTAAGTTGAAAAAAGTAAATAAATTGGAAACTGATGGGGAGAGATGGGAGCGAAATGGAACATCCTGGGGGGGTGTGATGGCCGATTAACTCTCATGCTGGGGTGCTGGGAACAGCCCTGCAGGCCAACACTGGGGCTTTCTGTGTTGGGGTTTGGTGTTTTGGGGGTGGGAGGGGGATGCAGGTGTGGGTTTTTTCTTAGCATTTCCTCTGTGTAGCATGTGGAGGCCATTGGTTGGAGAGAATGAGGTGTTGCTTAAGGTCATGGGTGAGAGATTTGGGCTTTTTTATGTATTTTATGATCAGTCCACCTCCTTGCTAGCAAGGACTCTCCCTGCTCATTGCATGCAGGTGAGTGGAGCAGTCAGAGTGGGGAAGGAAGCAGCATAAATCCCCCTAAAAATTCGTTGTAATTTGCTTGCATGGTTTAGCTAGCCATTGTTGTGTGTGTGTGTGTGTGTGTGTGTGTACATACAGGTGTGGGCAGAAGGGTGGTGGAAAGCATTGCAGAGCACCTGGGCAGTGTGTGAGGAGGTGATGGAGCAGCAAGGCACGAGTCTGCCCTGGCCATGTGGCACACGGGCTGCAGCTGTCACTGGATGCTCTGTACAAAAAGGATGAGTGGAGCTGCCTGACTGACTCATCCTGTCCCTGAAACAGCCCCGGTGAGCAGGGCGAGTCAGCAGCACCCTGTGTGCTGACAGAGCAATGGGGTGGGGGGAGAGCCCTGAGCTGTGGTTTGGGAAGGACGAGGGGTTTTCAGCGTTTGCTTTTGTTCAGGGCACTGCGAAGCAGAAATCCCCAAGAGAAGGGGGTTGCTTTTGGGTTTTGGTTGACAAATGCAAACTGTGGAAAGGTGTTCTGATGAGCTGTCTGAGCAGCTCTTGTGTGCTGCTTCGTCTTTCAGCTCTAAGCAGAACAGGCTCCAAATTCAAACCCTGAGCTTTCCATGGAGGTCTCTAAAGCACCAGGGTGCTGCATTTAGAGAGAGCTTTTCCCAAGCATGGGGCATGAAGATGGAAGGGGCAGATGAGCTCAGTCCCCATGGGGCCCAACTGCTGCTCCACTCTTGGTTTTAACCCCAGTTCAGCAAATATCAGCATTCTGGAGAGAGGCTCCTCACTTTTGGGGTGGTTGTGCAGAGCCTACAGGCGTGCTATTGCAATGCAGGTGGCAAAATTAAAGCACGAGCCCAGCTGCTGGGAGTGCATCTGCCTTCCTGCTACTTCAGCCCATGGTCCATAAGGGCTTTGGTTCTCCCTCCAGCCTGGGAACCACTGCAGCACAGTATGAGGTGTACCAGTACCTACAGTGCACCTGCAGCCTGGAGAAGTGTGGGATTTCTGCTCCTAGGACTGACAGTCCAGAGCCTTTGTGGGAGAAAACAGGAGCTGTAGGAAGCAAGTCTCTTAAACAACCCAATAGCTTTTACTATGTATATTAAAAAAAAAAAAAGCAACAAAAAGTGCAATGCTCCAGTTCACTGGGAGGACTGGGGGGTTAATTTTCAGGATGCTGCATGGGAATTTAGCCGTGGGATTTCCATTATTGCTAATGGGACTCATGCAGCTTAATTTCATGCGAGCTACACTAAAAACATACCCCTAACTGTCTTTAAAATTTCAGCCCTGAAATCGAGCCTTTTAAAAGTTAGAGGAGGGTAAACAAACACCTGAAACCACACCATCTTTGCTATTTTCCCCCTTTCAGTCAGTTTCAGTGGAGGGGGAGGGAAGGCAGGCAGTCGTAAGCAATTAAGAAAGAAAAAACATATTGCTCTCATACTGGCTGCCTGCATTCTGAACTTCAGCTTTCTGCCAATTGAAAGGGCAGAGTTACAACCCCTGAAAAATTGGGGTGGCTGATGCCTTATCCTTATCCTGAAGCGTTGCACTGCGGATGCTGCATCACAATATGTATCTAATAACCCCAGCACCACTGCCTCCATCGTGGGTCCTCGGTTATTAGGCCGTTCTTGTTAAATGACTGCTATCATCTGGTCCCAAAGTACATTAAATCCCATTATAATTATGAACACACTTCCCTATAACGTTCTCCTTAGATTACATTTGCACTGCTTTACCCCAAGGGGATTTTTGTACTAATGCCGTCCTTATTTGTTATTTTAGCTGACAGGGCCGGGCTGCAGGCAGTGCTGGCAGCAGCGATCTGTGCTCCCCTGTCCCTGCAGGTCCCCGATGTGGGCACTGCCGGTGTGCACTGTGCCAACATCCCCCAGCGCTGCGGGTTCCTATTTCTGTGCTCGGCGCGGGCTCGTTGGCTTTTCGTGCTTCCTATCCGAACTCAGCGCCGCTCGGGGAAGGGGTTCGGACAATCGCAGCTTTACCAAAGCTACGTGCGTGTAGCGTGACGTTCCGCTTTCCAGCCGAAAGCTGGCGTCGGGCCCCTAACTTGGATTTTGGTGACCGTCCCTACCGCTTCCGTTCGATCGCCGCGGGCTCTTAGAGCCGGGCCGCGGCTCGGTTCCCCGGGAGCGCTTTTGTTCCGAGCTGGGGGGGGTCCCGGCGGGTGGGTGGGTGCGTGCCCGACCCGCGGGGCCGTCGGGGGGCGGGCAGCCCCCGCCCGTATCGCGGCGTCGGGAGCGCGGCGGCTCGGCGGGGCGGGCGGGGGGCAGCGGTACGGGGCAGCCCCCGCGGTCGGGCGCCGCTCGCCGCCGCCGGCTCCGGTTCATTGGCTCCTCGCGGCCGCCGGTTCCTCCATGTTTGTTGTTGGCAGCGGCCGGCGGAGCCAAGCGCTGTCCAGCAGCCGACGCTCGCCCGCCCCAGCCCCGCTCTCGAGCCCCGGAGCCGCCGCCGGGCGCTGGGGCGGACCCGAGGCGCGCCGCAAGGTGCCCCCGCGGGGCCGGGAGGGAACGGGGGCCGCGGCCCCGAGGGAGCGGGCGGAGCGCGGTCGGAGTGCAGGCGGCGGCGCTGCCCGCGGAGAGGCGCACGCGGGGCCGCGCAGGATGCGCGGGGCCCCCGTCGGGGCGGGCCGGGGCGGGGCCGGGGGGGCGGCGGCGCCAGCAGTCAAGATGGTGCGGGCGGCGGCGTCGGGGGTGGGGGCGGCCTGACGTGGGCGCGGGGCGGCCCGTGGGCCGGCGCCGCGGTGATTTGCTGCGCGGCGCGGCGAGCGGCGGCGGCGGCGATGAGAGCGGGCAGTGCGAACTGCCGGAGCAGCCGCCGGCCGCCGTGAGTGCGGGCAGCGGGCGGGCGGGCGCGGGGCTGCCGTCCTCTTCTTCTTCCTTCTCGTCCTTCTCCTCCTCCTTTCCCCCCTCCTCGGCCCCGCAGCGATGCACGGTTGCGGCTCAGCGGGCTCTCCGCTGCGTCTGGGCACGGGGCTGTGCCGAGCGCGGCGGCTCTGGCTCTGCACCTGATGAGCGCTGCGCCGGGTCCGAGCCCTGCGGGCGGGACGGGGCGGCCGCCGCTGCCTGCCGCTGCCGTGCCGTGCCGTGCCCAGCTGGGCGTGCTCGCCGGCTCCGCGCACCGGGCGATGCGCGGCGATGCGCTCCCACCGCTGCCTCTCTCCTCCCCGAGCAGCACCCGGCGGGACCGCGGTTCTCAGCGCGCCGGAGCGCTGCGGATGCCGGCCCCGAGCCGAGCGCACAAACTTTTCAGAGCATCGTGACTCGCCGCCGAGCTCCGGCTAACCACCCTCTCCTTCTCTCCTCCCCCCGTCCCTCCTCTTTTTTTTTTTTTTTTTTTTTTTTTTTTTTTCCTCCTCTTCCCCCCCTCTGTCTTTTGTTTTCGCAGATAGTCGGCACACAAAGCTAGTCCCAGATTTGAGCGACGGTAAGGCACCCTAATGAGTGAACCTCGGGAGCGCTATGGATTTGACTAAGATGGGCATGATACAGCTCCAGAACCCCTGCCACCCCACGGGGCTGCTGCACAAAGCCAACCAGATGCGCCTGGCGGGGACGCTGTGCGACGTGGTCATCATGGTGGACAGCCAGGAGTTCCACGCTCACAGGACAGTGTTAGCTTGCACTAGTAAAATGTTTGAGATCCTCTTCCACCGCAACAGTCAGCATTACACCCTGGACTTCCTTTCACCAAAGACTTTCCAGCAGATTCTGGAGTATGCTTACACAGCCACCCTCCAGGCAAAGGTTGAAGACTTGGATGACCTGCTCTATGCAGCTGAGATCCTAGAAATAGAGTATCTAGAAGAGCAGTGCCTGAAGATCTTGGAGACCATCCAGGCATCTGATGACAACGATGCCGAAGTCACCATGACGGATGGAGGTGCCGATGAAGAGGAGGACAGGAAATCGAGGTACATCAAGGGGCTCTTCATCTCCAAGCATTCCAGCGAGGAGAGCGGCTACGCCAGCACAGCTGGGCAGAGCGGACCGGGCACTATGGTGGAGCAGAGCCCCTCGGTCTCCACATCCTTTGGCCTCTCCGCCATGAGCCCCACCAAGGCAGCAGTGGACAGCCTGATGAGCATTGGGCAGTCACTGCTGCAGGGTGCCCTGCAGCACAACGTCCCCGAGGAGCCGCACGCTGCCGGCCGCCACCCCGGCCCCAGCGAAGTCAAAACCGAAGTGATGCAGGTGGAAGATGCCTCCAGCCACGAGAGCCCACGGCCGGCGGAGTCGGGTGCTTCCAGTGGGGAGAAATCTGATGACAAGAGCAAGGAAGACCCCGGCACCCCGACCCGCAGTAGTGTTATCACAAGTGCCCGCGAACTGCACTATGTCCGCGATGAGAGCGCAGAGCAGCCTCCCGAGGCCGCCCAGGGGATGCTGGTGGGGCCAGAGCAGTCTGCAGCTGCAAGCGAGAAGCCTTTGGGTGTCTACTCCGTGCTCCCCAACCACAAAAGTGACTCTGTGCTCAGCATGCCGCCCTCCATGACATCCACTCTTCACATGCAGCCAGCCCTGGCCGTGTCCATGGACTTCAGCGCTTACGGAGGGCTCCTGCCCCAGGGCTTTATTCAGAGGGAGCTGTTCAGTAAGCTCGGGGAGTTGGCAGCCGGCATGAAAACAGAGGGCAGAGCCGTGGGCGAGCAGTGCAGTGTGTGTGGGGCAGAGCTCCCAGACAACGAGACCGTCGAACAGCACCGGTGAGTCCTTGCTGTGTCCGGCTCCACGCACGCCTTCGGTTGCTTGTTTTGCTGTTGCCGAGGTGTTTTCCTCTGTTTATTGTCGTATTTTGCTCTCAAAGCGAATGTGATGCTTGGGCATGATCTTGGTAGTGGGTTTTGATTTCTGACTGGGTTGTGCTAAGAGCTTAGCATCAAATCCATGCTGCGAGCCCAAAATTGGGATGTGGAGCAGCGTGCGCTCTGCCAGCCTCGCACGGAGGGAGAACTGCCTTAACTTTCTCAAGGCTGGCAGCTGTGCCAGAAGCTTCCTTTCAGTGAGTGTTGGGTGGGGTGCATAGCCCAGAGGAGGCTCAAGGTGTTGTAGGTGTTTCTTGCTAGCACAAACCCCACTGGTTTTCCTGGCTGCTGTCTGCAGAGCTCCATACGGTCACTGCCATTTGAGTTTAGGGATCTGTGCTGCAGATCCCGTGCTCTGCAGATCCTCCCACCCTGTGCTGAGCCCCTGACCCCGGTGTGAGTGCCCAGTGCTCTGCAGGGTTTGTTTCTGCAGGGGAGATAGAGACCTGCTGCGTGCTCTTACCCTACTGCACGGATGACGTTTGGGATTGCTGCGCTGCACGGCTTGCCGCTCCTGTAGTTTAACACCAGCTTGGTGGTGTTGCTCAGTCGCACAGTTTATGAAATATTTGCACTTTGCCCAAAGTCACATGCAGGTCAGGCTGGGATTGCTTTATCACCAGGTCCAGCTTTTACCCTCCGGAGGGGGCAGCTGTGGGTGGGTGTGCTCCGGGGCACGGAGCTCGGTGCCTGTGGGGCTGTGTGCTGGCTGCTCTCGGTGTGTGCTGCTATCAGATACATGCTGCTATCAGATACACACTGCCAGAGTTCCTCGCATCGTCCCCAAAGTGCCCGAACTGAGCATCATCTCCAAATATTAATGAATCAACAAGTTAATTAGTCCCGATGCGCACAACGTCGTGCACGCACAGGAACGGTGCGGGTGCTGCTAGCAGGAGCTGCTCCAGCCCGTGTGGCCGTGCAGGTGACCCCCGTGGGAACAGCAGCTGCTGCATCTCTGGTGCTGCAGTGTTCAGCCCTGCGGAGCTCCGTGAGCTGGTGGTGCTTCACGGCTCTCCGTGCCGTGCTGACAGCCATCCCCCTGCCCCAGAGGGTCCCTCTCGCTTTGTGCACCCGTGCAGCAGGGTTCTGCTTTGTTCCCCTGCATTGTAAGTGGGAGAGCTGGGGTTTGTGTGCGTGCGTGCGAGGGGCAGATGATGCCTGCCCAAAGCTTTTCGCTCGGACGAGGATCCAGCCGTGCTTGCCGTAGGGTGATGCAGGCTGAACGTCACCAAGGGAGAGCTGCAGTGAATGCTCAGTGAGAATTTTAACGTGGCTTATGCCACTCTCCCCAGCATCTTCCCTTCTCCCTGAACGCAGAGCAGTGACCAATGCTGGAACCGGTTCATAATCCTGATCTTGTGCCAAGGCTGCTGCTGCTGTGTTCTGCTGAGGTTTGGGGCTGATCTAACACACAGTAGAGCAGCATTTGCTAAAAACACAGCCCCAGAAGGTTGGTTTGAGGCAGTGCCGAACTTGGTGCACTCCTATTTTGAGGCCATGGCTGTGTGCAGTCACGGCGTGCTGGTAAACTTTTCAGAGTGAGCCAAATCCTTTGAGCCGTTTTTAAACTGATTTGTAAGATGGTCTGTGTTGAAAGGTGTTGGGCAACAGTCAAATGAACTTTAAAAGAGGAGAAAAAAAAAAAATCGAAATCCAAGGCAGTTTGTGCGTAGACAAGGTTTCATGTGGCTTTTTTATAGTGTTTGCTTTCTGATACGTGGTGAAAATTACCATTTCGAGAGGATTTGTGGGATCCCATTGTATTTATGGAGCTGTTAAACAGCATCCACGCTACGCTGGGATCTATAACTCTCTGCTGGAGCAGTTGTGCAGGTGGTGGCAGCTGCACCGTGCTGCTGCTTTGCTCCCAGGGTGTGCCGAGTGACAGCGGTGTCACCACGGAGCCACTGCTGTAGGTGACCTCTTTCTGCTGGGTGCCTGTTGGTGTGGTTTTGCTTTTAACCCCTGGGCACAGAGAAGCAGCCCTGTCCCCAGCTGTGTTGCAGGCTGGAGTTGGATGCCCGCTGCTCTGTTTCCTGCTGGATGAGTGCTGGTCTGCCCATCCGTTTGTTCCAGTCCCGTGCTTTCAAGGTGTTGGATTGATGGGCAGATGCAGCACTTCCAGAGCTGTTGGCACTGCCTGAGCTCTTGGTTTGGTGGCTTTTGTGTGCCGGAGTCCCAGCAGGGAGAGGAGAGAACCAAAGTGCTCTGCACGGAGAGCACTTAATGAGCCAAGAGCATCCCAACATGTACAGTGTCTGTTTATGTTACGTGAGTGACTACATATGGTGTGTATGTTTGTTTACACACACACACTCCTAGATGCGTATAAATATATATGTTTAGAGTCTGAGAACCTTCTGAGCATTGCTCCTGCCTTCACTAGTATGGGAAATACGTGCACATGGGGGGAAAAAAAGAACATGGTGCTTCCCCCAGGCCCTGGAGGGGCTGTGGTTTGGGTGTTCTGCTCAGAGAGCACCCAGGGGTGCAGGTCCCCATTGGGTCCCCAATCCCCGAGGAGCAGCCCCACAGCCACCCTGTGCTTCTTGGATGGCTGTCGGCCGCTTTGCAATCCGTTTTCCTTGTTGACCAAGCTTATGATTTTGACTAATTGAGTGCGTATTGAGTTGGTGACTCTTGATTTTTTTTTTTCTTTTTGTTCTTTTTTTTTTTTTTTTTTTATAAAAGATTTCCTTCTAGGATCAACAAAGTTCAAACTTAATCTAATGTTAGTATTGATTGCCGCTTCTAATTGCAGACCAAAAAGCTGTAGTTCAGTGGCCCTTTTCCGGTTTGTTTGTATGAAGAAAAATCTCCGCTTCTGCAGGGCTGTGCTGAGCTGCTGCCTGAATCTGGGGCAGTTTGTCATTGTGAGGTTAAATGCATTCAGAGTTTATAAAATGAGTGTTTCATATATATATATTTTCACATCGAAAGCAGCAGAGAAAGCTGTCAGGGGGAGATGTGATTCAGTGATGACCGTGAGTGGCACAGTTCTCCCTTTTTCCTTCGGTGCATCATCCTTCCCCTCTGCAGGGAAAGGGCTTGAAAGGCAGAGCATCCAACCCCACAGTATGGTCCTGCGGGGTGACCCCGAGCAGTGCTGTGTGCTGGCAGCGTTGTCCTCATGTCCCTCTGTGACATGGAGATGCCCAGCTGGAAAATGAAAGTTCTTTGTGCCAGTGTTGTCTAAGGCAAATCATAACCAGCACTGCGAATCCCGTTGGTGGTGTTTTGGTTGGAAGGTGCCTGCTCCTCTGCCCCTAAATCCATGTTAGTGCACACCTTGGGAAAACTCTCTTCAAATTCCCACATCTGATTTTTGCACAGGTTGGAAGGTGCCACAATTGAGCTTGCTCTGGTGGATGATTTTAAGGTTAGGTTTGCCTTGTCGCCTTGAACCCCAAACCTTTGCTCTATTTCTGCTTACGCGGCACAGAGGAGCAGCAGATCTGCTTGCCCACTGCCTTGCCAATTGGGCTCTGCTGGCTCCCCAAAACACACGAGCCTCTCCATGCGATCCCTGCGCTCCTTGATGCGGTGCAGCGAAGTGGAACAAACCGCGGGTCCCTAACAAAGACCCGTGTTTGAATGGACCCATTGGCTGCTGCTTGTCACTGCGTGCACTGGGACACCTCCAGCAGCTCTGTCTGCATGGAGCAGCGGTGCCGAAGCAAATCTTAAGTGGCCGCGTAGGGAAATATTGCTGCTTTTGGCTCTTTGCTTGCCAACCTCACCTCCATTTGTCTTCGAGTGGATTAGCTGAGCATTGTAATACTAATGCCATTAGGCACGTTGGCACCGCTCAACATGTCACAGTGAGAAACAGATGCAGTATACCATTAAAGCAATAAACGTGATAAATCAGATCCCAAGTGCTTTGTGAGATGTTATTAGTGTTAATTTTGGTAGCCGGGTACAGTAGTTGTTTTTTATTTCATTTTAAGCATTCGGCGATTTATGTTCCGCTGAAGTCGGCTGCAATCGAAACTTTAAAAAAAGAAAGAGAAAGGGGGGTGAGGGGAAAGAAAAGGAATAAATAACAAAAAGGCAGCCCCCAAACTCTGCCCGTGATTATTTCCAGAGTTCGAAGACAACTTGGCAGCTCTTGTTTCTCGCTGATGGGCCTTATTAGTGGCACCTGGCATCATAACCGCCTAATGGAAACCAGCGTTCCCCCACTGCGTGGCCGCTGACAAGTAGCTCTGTCAGAGCAGGGCTGCCATGCGAGGAAGCTCTTATTAGCTTTATGGGCAGGGGGACCTGCCCTGCTCAGGAAATGAATGTTGCAGCCGAGGTCCGCGGCGCTGACCCCGAGCGTGTAACCTGTGAGTGCCAGCCGAGACCCCGCGCAGGATGCTTGGGATTTCGGGCTTTCTCTGGTTCTTGTCATAAGGAAAGAGGGAATACGTTGTGGTATGTTGCAGCCTTGAACTTTTGATTTATTCGGTGGGGGACTTAACCATTTCCATGCAGCGCTTGGAGCACGGAGGGGGAAGCGGCTCTCGTTGGCTTCGGCGCTGTGCGGCCGATTATCGCGCATCTTGTTGGTGGATGGCAGCGCCTCTGCAAGCAGAGTTCTGCAGCTGCCCTCAGAAAACACCACGTTGTTTTTTTTCCCCTTGCCCAGCAATGGGCAGCAGCTCTCCTGGCTGGTGTGGCAGCACCTGCATGGGGCAGCACGCGGCGGCATGCAAGCATTGCAGAGCTTTCGCTTCTTGTTATCATTCGCAAAGCGCTGTTTGTTAAAATGGCATTTATTGGCTGCACGGAGGATCCCTCTCGCAGGGAATGCACTGTTTCAGGGTGACACCAGCAAATCTTTTTTGTTGTTGGGTTTTTTTTTCCTCTCAATGTATGGAAATGCTGCGAGAAGCACAGGTTTGTAGCAGGCT